TTCCAACACATCTCTATGCAGGTTTAGTCATTGCAACAATGATCATAAGCCACAGGCTGACTCATATGTTTGTCAAACTGCACATTTTTTCCTCCTTCACAGCAAAAGCACAGCTTTAATGAAATCTGGCTTAAGCGAACTAAATTTATTATGATGACCTATTTCTTAACACATTTATGTAGGCACAAACTAACTAAAAAGAGCAAATTTTATAGGATTTAAAGCACCAGAGGTACCATTTTGTTCCTAAAACATCAACCTTAGTGTTGATCTTTTTGCAAAACAATGAAGATTGAGTTTGAGGGAAGTTAAACATATGGTTTCAATTAAAAACAACAATATTTTAAATAATTTAGAATTTAATGGCCTATGTTAAAATTATACTCATCTTAAAGTTAAAAGCGTATAGATTTTTTTCTAAGACTGCACTTTGTTGCTACAGAATTTGGGTTATTGTCATTTCAGTTTGTGGATTGGTACAAGGTGTACATGTGTAAATGTATCTTCTTCCTAACATTCTGCATAGTGCATGTTGAAATCAAATTTAATAATTTCTTCTTTCCCCCACCCTTTCTTGTTTCAAGTTTATGTAGATTACATTTCAAAAAATGACTACCTAGGTTCATACCTGTAAAAATAGCTAGCCAAGGATCTTCACAAAAATGTGTATCAGGACTTTTGAGTGTTTCCTTGAATATATATTTTCAAGGAACTGTGCAAACATTGTGTTTACATTATTAATATTAGGTTTAAAAGGTCAATAAACCTTGTACGTGTTTGTCATCCTGTGTGAATGCGTGTGTGTGCTTAATATTTTAAGCTCCAACACTTGCAAAACTTAAACTTTTATATGCCTAACAAGTTGTACTGGAGTTCTTTGAACCCTTTCATTTATTAAAATCAAACCGTATTTATTAGAACTATATGTTAAGTTGTTTTTTCTGTTTTCTGTTTAAAGGACTCACCGCATCACGATCACGAACTTCTGCCTGGGAAAGCATCTGGTGAGTGAGGACGACCTGCTGAAAGACCAGCGAGGGAGTCCTGCCTACATAAGCCCTGATGTGTTAAGTGGTGAGTGAAGAATATGTCACACGTGTGTTCTTTTTCAACGACATCGCAGGTACAAAATATGTTGCTTTTTACGGAAAGGAGTCTCTGTCAGACAGATAGTTGTTAGAAGAAGTGTTCTGCTGCTTTTGACACCTTTAAAAACCTGTTCCATTAGTCACACCGGCTTTTATTGACCCATGTGAGTGTGAAAATGTCATCACGAGTGCTAGAGGTATGGCAAAGTAGAACTGGGATGTGCTGTAATTTCACGTGAAATACACTGGGGCAACAGATATGTCATAATTTCTGACTTGAAAGTTCTGGTAAGAGAAGTCACCCTTTCTGATTTGAGTCTAAAGAGGATCCTGGAATTGTTCTTAATGCGTTGCGTAACATTAGCAGTCAAGTTTCTGTTTGAATTTCCATTTGTTAAGCAACCAGAAGACAGCTGTGTCGCAATCTTGGACTGGCAAATGCCCTTTTTTTTTGTAATCATGATGATGTTGCATTTTCTTATGCATGGTGTCTGCAGAGGAAGCGGCCTTCCTCTGTATAACACAGTTTTTGTCTGAGCAAAGGGTGAATCGATTTTTATTGTTTCGCTTTACAATGCTCATTGTCCAACTAAATGGGTCGCGCACGAGTTGCTACACACCAGTAACACCAGTATTTGAGCAAGCTATTCCGTGAAAGGCCATAGTTGCATCAGTTTAATCGTTGGTTTTCTAACCGACATCCTGTAGAATGTGCAAAACTCAAAATGATTTCAAACATCTTTCCTGTTCAACCGGTTGAAAACCGTAGATAAAAGCCTCACGTACATATCAGCATAACGTGACAGGCACACAATTAAACAGAGCATCAGTGACTCATGCACCGATGACTCACTAGAGGGAAACTACTCCCATCTACTCCCATCCCCCAGCCTGTGTGTGTGTGTGTGTTTGTGTATCACACAAGCTTTAACATAATTTCTCACTGCTGTTGCTGTCGCCTTGCTGACTGTAACACACAGCCTATGGTAATGCACAGCTATGATGTTACACCCTCATCAGCTTCAGTTTAATTATCGTTTATTTTTTGTTTTTGTTGTTTTTGCTTTAACATAATTTCTCACTGCTGTTGCTGTCGCCTTGCTGACTGTAACACACAGCCTATGGTAATGCACAGCTCTGATGTTACACCCTCATCAGCTTCAGTTTAATTATCGTTTATTTTTTGTTTTTGTTGTTTTTGCTTTGACCAAAATATTACCTCCATTTTCAAAATCAAGTTTGTTTTGAGTAGTGACAGAGTCCAAGTTAGGGGCCAAGTAGGGCCCAGTTTTTAAAACGTACCAAAGTTGCATCCAGCTAATGTTCCATACAACTTCTGCGAATTGTGAAATACTGGATCTGCTTATTGTTCTGAGAATTTCTGGTCAACTRTACTGTATAGATGTTGAGTAAGCACTTGCGTTTGTTTGCTGGTTTGTTAATCATTAAACTTGGTTGTTTGACAGGGATAGAACTGATTGCATGCTTGATCACTCCTGAGTAATAAAGACATAAACTTTTATTTCGCTAAAATACYGCCCTCCTTTGTTTAATGTGCTCATAGTCAGGCTTTTCGTAGTCTAAAAAGCAGTCTCTGATCCCCTCTTCATCCTGTCTCCAGGTCGTCCATACCGTGGTAAACCTAGCGACATGTGGGCCCTTGGTGTAGTTCTGTTCACCATGCTGTATGGCCAGTTCCCTTTTTATGACAGCATACCTCAAGAACTCTTCCGTAAGATCAAGGCTGCGGAGTACTCCATTCCAGAGTGAGTCTGTATAGATTTATATAAAGCCTTAGAACCACGCCGCTCTAACAACACAGAGTCAACTCATTTATGTTCATTCAGACAGCTGTGGTCTYATCTTACTCATTAGGACTCGCTTAATCTGTGCATGTTTATACAGGATTTTTTTTTTTTCCCCTTTTGTACTCTAATCCTGGAATCAAAGCAGATTTTCTGACATCAGCAATGTGTACAGACCTTGACTGAAGTGGGTGATCTTAAAGTGTTTTTGCTGGATTTTACTGTTTATGTTCAATTTTCTACCTTTTAAGAGAGATTATAGTTTACTCTCGTTTTATRTTAATATATAAATATTTTTTGTCTTTCTCACAGAGATGGACGTGTGTCAGAGAACACAGTGTGCCTCATTCGAAAGCTGCTCGTACTGGACCCACAGCAGAGGCTAACTGCAGGAGAAGTGCTGGAATCCCTCAGTGCCATCATTGCCTCTTGGTAAATACGCCCTCTGCTGGATGTTTGAAAAACTGCAAGAATATGTGTTAAACACTTAAAATGCAGCTGAGATGTTCATCAAACTCACATTGWATATGAGGGGCGTGGCCTAACTGCACATCACTGAGCTAATCATGCTGTTGTGTTTACTTAATCACAGGCAGTCAGTTTCATCGATGAGTGGCCCTTTGCAGGTGGTTCCAGATATTGATGATCAGCTCAATCACCCAGAACATCTGCAAGAGGTAAGATTTTAGAGCGAAGCCGGGTTCCCACCAAACGTGTCTTGAGCAGCAAAAACGCTCCTGACGTCAGTTTTTGGCTGCTTGTCAACAGATGTCCGTTCACACCGAACGTGTCTGGGAGGAACGTCTTGGTTCTTTTCCAGTCGGTTTGTTTTTTTCCGGTCTGTCTTTAATGACGGGTGAAATAAAGATAAAATAAAGAAAATGGCTTTGCTTTATTTACTAAAGAGCAAGCGAACGTTGCGCACAGCAGATAATTAATTCACCAGATAACCGTGTTGTATAAAGTACCTCAAAGTGATACTTGAGTAAATGTACAAGTATCTTGTCATAAAAATACTTTGGTAAAAGTTAAAGTCTTCTCTAAAAATATTACTTGAGAAAAAGTCGTAAAGTATCTGATATTTTTTGTTGATACGACTTTCTATTTCTTACCTTTTAAAAAATGTAGTGAGTAAAAAGTACACATAATTGTGAAAAAATGTAATGAGTAAAAGTAAAAAGTACGCTGAAAAATAATTACTCAAGTAAAGTACAGATGAGCAAAATTTCTACTCAAGTACAGTAACAAAGTATTTGTACTTAGTTATTTTACAACTCTGCCAGATAATTTAGAGGCGGTTTGTTCGGTAACTCTGCTCTGAGCTGCGAGCTGACGGACTTTTATTTTTTTATTTTTTTAAATTTTTGTTTCCCAGACCGAGACCAGACTAGAGGTACGTCTGAAGAGGGAGGAGTGTCTTGGTTTTTTTCTGGTCTGTCTTTAATGAAATAAAGACAAAATAAAGAAAATGGCTTTGTTTTATTTACTAAAGAGCAAGCGAACGTTGCGCACAGCAGATAATTAATTCACCAGATGATTTAGAGGCGGTTTAGTTTCGTCACTCCAGGAGCTGCGAGCTGCTGACCCACATCGGTGCTGATATCTCCAGCCAGAACACCAACTGCAGACGTTCGATATCGAGCTCCTGTCCGTCTGTGTCGGGTTTAGGAAACCGTCATGTGGAAAAATTATTCTCTCTGGTTGGTTGCTGCTGCGCGTCGAGCAGCCAAAGTTCAATTTGTTGAACTCGAGCAGCAGCTGCTTTGGACGCGCTGCATGCACGRAAAATGCTCTGCTGCATCCTACCGCTACCTTGSGTGCTGCTCTAAACTGGCAAAATGCGCCGCTATGTGCTGCGCTGCTCCTGGATGCGCGTCCACCTTAGACTTTGCATGTAAACTGGCTGCTTTGGCTGCTCAAAACGCGTTTGGTGTGTACCCGGCTTCACAAGCTAAAATGTTTGTGCTCAACACTAAAATTCCCTGCTGCTCATTTATTTTACATTTTCAAACATAGACAAATGTTGTACCCTATGTAAGTGTTAATATTTCAGTAATTACAATGCAGTGAGCTGAATACATTATTTTTTATCCAGGCCAAGGTGATTGAAGAGTCTTCACAGTACGAGTTTGAAAACTACATGCGCCAGCAGCTGCTGCTGGCTGAGGAGAAGAACACTTGCCATGAATCCAAGAGCTTTCTCACAAACCGCCAGTTTGGCAGCATCCCACCTGTTAGGCGTTTGGGCCACGACGCCCAACCTGTCAGTCCACTAGATGCTGCTATACTCGCCCAACGTTTTCTTCGGAAATAGCCTTCAGCCACCCACTCCAGCCTCCCCAGAAAGTAAAGACGCCCGCAGGGATGAGAGAGGACTCCCGACAGAAAAAGCCCCAAAACTGAGCTTGCACACGTGAGACCCCTGCCTGAGCTTGCTGACAAAGAGACAAATGTTYGGGTTTTTGGCGAGTTAGGTGAAGCAGATAGAAGGTGGGCAGGAAAAACACATCTCCAACGCAGAGCTTCACTCTCCCGGTCTGGATCGAGCCGGCRACACGTGAAGCCTCGGCTGAAACTCTGACCCAAAGGTTCCTCGCCCTCAGGTCGCCTACAGTCACTGTGCAACAAGCCCATTAGCACAGTCCCACATGACTCTGACACGAGGCCCTGCCTTTAGTGTTAAAGAAATCCTYCTTTGAGATGTCCCAGTTGTGACACTTCCCCCACCTTATTCTGGTTCCCCTGAGCAATACAGGTCCAGAATCATGTAGCAACTCTCTTCACAGTGGTTCGGTATTGCCTCAAGTCGGGTCACTTRATCACAGATGTCTCACTTATGTATACCTCCATTTCATCTTCCTTCTCTTGTGTTTTTCTTCCYCTCTACTGTCTTCTTGTGATGAATATGGTCTTTGTCCTGTCCACCACTCTGACTTCAAATCAATCTACCTCTTTTGTCTCTCTTCTCTGTTGGTAACCCATGCTCACTGTCCTGAGACAAGGGATTGTAACAAAGGAGTCTTGATGCTACCAGTGACATAAAGCATTAACGTTTTCTGTTAGAGTTGATGTGTTTTGAAACCTTCTCAGTGGTTTCTAAAAATCTGAATAAGCTTTGTTTCATTTACCGGAATAAGTAGCATTTTATCTCTATAACTGCATAGAAGAAAAAGAAAATATCAAAGCTTATGTGTACACATGCTTTGATATTTGCTTTGTCCTCCTGCTTCTGCTCATCCCTGTGGAAATYTATTAGCATCTAGGCAGCTAGTGTGGAGTACCTGGGAGTCACAATGCCAAGAACTGAATGAGGCCAAGGCATAATGATGGGAAATCTTCCTCAGTGCCAGCGTACTACTATAATGACAATACGGCGCTGTCATGTTTCCATTGCCAAAAAAATCTTGTCTTAAATGTATTTTTAGCCAAGGAAACTGGTACTCTCTGGCTCATTTAGAACGAAAAGGCTTCCAGGTAGCTTCCCTGTTTTCTTCTCAACAAAATCAATCATGAGACAAGTGTTTTTCAGTGTGAAGTGATCATTCTACGCTTTACTATATCTGCAGTATCCAGGTGTGTATGTGTGTGTGTGTGCATGCGCGAGTGTGTTGGGTCAGGCAAAACAAGTGTCTCCTAAGCTGTCGAGCTGTTAACCCTATGACACTGTGTGACCCTTTAAGCTATTTTCCTATTTTCATTGTGTTTTGTTTGGCCTGCCGCTGTGGCAGACACTGTGAAAACCAGACCAGGCTCTGCTTCAATGCTTTAAGATTGGAAAAGATCACGTATCTATTGCCACTCCGAAGCCCTCTGTCAAGCTCATCTTGTACACGCTTATCTCACCACGTAGGCTCGTCTGAGACTAACTAGTGGCTGATAATGAGTACTGTAATATTTTATAGGTAAATGAGAAAAAAATAACTCGCAGATTTTTAATTGCAGTTGCTGTGTTTGCTTTTTGATGAATTCTGTTTTTACACAATGATTCTTTAAACCATGGCAAAGTTACTACTCGGTGACTGTTAGACATTTGTACACTGCTTCTTGCCTTTGCATATTGATACCTGCTTTAGGCTTTTTGGACTTCCTCCTATTTCTATTCAAACTGATTGCATGAACATAGCCTTTGGATCTTTTTCAAATGTCTCTACTTGTTCTTTTTTGTTTTCCTGGGAGTTTTGTGTTGATTTATTTATTCACTTGTGCCGACTTTCCCCTTTTTTTTTCAAACCACTGGTGCTTGTATCACAGACATTGATTGTAAACAGTCAATTTATTTTTCTTGTTCTTTTTTTTTTGGTTGAAAGGTTTTCTTAAATATTGACTGCTGATAATTGTCGTAACTTCTGCCAGTGAACCCGGCTCCACGTCTCCTCGCTCTCTCAGCTTTAAGAAGTATTTTTCACACAAACCGTGGCTCCACTTAAACCTTCGAATTCTTTATCCTGTTCMGACACATTCATGAAAGAGTAGCATTTTGTTGTTGTTGTTGTTTTAGGATTACTAAATTGTTTTCTTGCCATTTTTTTTTGTGGTAAACTTAAGCTACACTAATTACAAGACTGACTTTTGCATAGTTCTATTTTTAAATAAATAAAACATTTTCATGTTATCTTGATTTATTGGTGGAGGTTTTGGATTAAAATTTTCTTCCATTGCCCCCCCAATTTTCACTCGAGGCTGCACTCTTTTGGTCAGTATGTAAATAAAGTACCATCATGACTGTGGCAGTCAAGTTGTATGTACAGTAGTTCCACCCGGTGACTTACCAACTCTGTTTCAACACATGCCGATTAACGTGTACTTTAGGCCACGTTGGCCGTCAACCATCACACCTGGAGGCTAAAATAATACTTAAAGAGAGCCATTGGCTTTCTCCCATCTCAATGTGAATTCCATGGGTATACAGCAGTATTGTAGTAGTCTAGGTTGTTCATAAGAAAAGGTTGTTTTCGAGCTCCGTAGCCAGTGCTGATTTTAAGCGAACGTCTTTGGAAAGTGTCTCGGCACCATCTTCCATGAGACATGAGTACAGAWCAGTAACCTAACGGCTTTCTTCAATCAGAAAGCTAGCAGGATGTTCCATGGTCATTGTTTGTTTTCCTGAGCTGTATTGGTAAACATTGTGGACTGAAAAGCATGGAATTAGTAAATTTTTGCACGATTTTGAACTCGTATGTCAGAGCAACTGAAATCGAAAACAATTCACCCCATTAAGTCGAATCTGCGCCCYCCAACTGGGGAAAAAAATCCTACAAATTTATTAAATTGTCGGCACATATTCGATTAATTACTGGTCGTTCCAACTGTAAACCTGGTGCGGGATGTAAAACGTGTTGCTTAAACCCCATGGGACAATGTGTTGTAAGCTGCTTGGTTGGATACGGGCATCTGGATACAGAAAACTGAATAATTGTACAGATAAACACATTTGTATAAAAAAAACATATTTTTCTACTTCATCAGATCTCTACTTGCATGTCAGCAATAAACTTTGATATGGAAATGTTGGATTTTGTCTTTTATTGAATGGATGTTGACACTTTTTCACTTCTCCGCTAGGTGGAGCAATTTATTTAAAAAAAGGAGCAGAAGCAACGTATTTTTTGTTGAATATCAAAGAGTGTATCCCTGAATGCTTGTCTTTATTGGCTTCTATATATTAATCTACCCTTTTTGGACAGCACACCTAAAGAAGATAAACAGTAATATAATACCAAATTGTGTACAATGGGTTGCCTTCTGGCCCAGGCCTYCCTTGAGARAGAGATCTGYAATCTCAATGGGWTTTGCCTGGATAAATAAAGGTAAATAAATAGATATGGGTGCAAAGCATTTGACGTGCCCTGTCATAGTAGATAAGAAGAATAAACGGCTCTGAGTCACTGTAGACTTTGGATTGTTTGGATACATTCAAACAGGAATTCTGATGACTCACAACCCAACCGTTTCCTGTAGGTTTGAACCCACATCTACTCGAGGTATAACRCGTGCCCTCATGTGGTGGTGATTAATTTCATTCGAAAACTCATCTTGCAGGTCAGAAGGAAAGCCCCCCGATATGAGCAGTGCTTGAACAGATTCAGATTTGTGGTAAATGGCAACAAGTGTGGGAACTGTTGAGTGAGCCTTTCAACTGATTATCTGCACATGTTCTGCTCGAGTCCTAAGTGACATTTCCCACCCTTCTGTGCCTCGGTTGTGACACCCATCAGCCAGAGTTTGGGGGGACGGTGGGGAGTACGACGATCCTCAGGGTCAGAGTTCCACAGATGCTTTGTCCTCATAAATTACAACCAGCTGGTGCAGGGGAGATTCTTGCTCGCCTCTCCGGTGTCTCAAACAAATGTTCATTAAAGACGACGCCAGACATTTGCAACGTTTCTAGCTCTTCCTGCGTGTTTTGTTTTAAAGTGGGTCAGGATTAATTTAGCTGGACACCGATAAACCAAAATCCACACTTCCAGATGTGTGTGTAGCTGTCCTGTCCTTGCTGTAGTGTGCGCAATTTACTRGTAGCAGTGTGTTTAGGTTTTTAAAAAATGAATTGGAAAAAGCGACCCAAGTGCACAGCCACATTAGCTTCAAGTTGTGGTTTATGACTGTTGAGTGTGAACGTGCTTCCAGCTGTGTCGAGCATGAAGCTTTATGGTGTCTAAAGCTAAACACACAGGACCAGATTTATTTTGCATTTGAGGACTCGACCTCTGGAACAAGAAGAGGCCACGTGAAATATAACAGTTTTCCTTATAAAGGGTTAAACATGGTATTTAAAGGAAAGGTGGCTGTTTGAGGCCTTCACCTGGCTCCATTTACAATTGATATTTTTGCAAAATGTAAAAACCCAAATGAAAAATTAATCTAAATGCRAACTAGTACTGAATATGTTGTATAAAGGTCAAAACTCCCATTGCCATCGAGACACAAACTTGATTTCATCTTGGAGCTTAGAACAAGCGTTTCCATTTGTGTGTCTTCAGTCAATTCCTCARAGACTCCTACACAGATGAGTTTTGCAGCTTCGCAGTTTTGTACATCAGACTTACGAAGCTCAGTTCATTTTTGTTGGCAAAAATAAATTGGCCACAAAACAGGTCCCAACACGAGGAGCAAGAAGGGAAAACATCTGCAAAATGATGTCTAATTATCTTCTTCTCTCAGCAGTTCCCAAACTTTATTTCAGTGAAAAACAACAAAAAAAAAACATTTAAAATGTATTTATGGTGCTGTCAGCTGAAGGGAATAGCAGCCACAATGGCCAYGGATGGTCTTGTTCCAAACTTAGTTGCACTTACTTTGATGATAAATCCTTTGAAATCAGTGCTCTATACTCAGACGTCTCTTTCCATTATAAACACATAAGACAATTAAASAAATGAAAGAATGCCACATTAGTTACTGACATGAGGCTGTAAATCTGGTGCCAGCAGGGGGAGGCTGCTGTGGTGACACGCACACAAAGTARAATTTATCACAGATAAAGTTCATTTTCTACAATAAACCAGCAAAAAAACTGTTAATCTTAACTGGTTAAAAACAACTTGATGAAGAGAGAAATTCAAATTGATAACTTAGCTACCAAGTTTGAGAAACAAAATAGTTTAATTTGTTTGTGTCTCCCCCCCACCACACGAAAAGGCCACCCTTGTGTTAATTCTTACATAAAAGTCTAGTTCCACCACTGTCAGTCAACATCGTGGTCAAAACCATTTCTAACTTGTTATAATGCCTCCTCTGTTTGATAAATGGATCGGATGAAAGGGCTAATTAGTAGCTTCATGTGTGCCTTCAAATGAAACTTCCTGGTAGCTAACACAGAGGAACAGCTCCAAACAGAACAYAGCTCTCTTCAAAGCAATGCCTGTTTTAGATGTTAACACACTGCGTTAACTTGTGAGTTTTAGGTGCTGATGGTTATTTTCAACATCAAAGCTAGCTAGCTGCAGTCTTCTGCATCTGCGTGCACCTTAGACTATATGCTGACAGCCTTTCAGGCTGTGGAACATTTTCTCGTTGCCAGAGGGTTGTTTTGGCCCACTGTGAGCTGTCGACTTGACGTGTGACGATGTAGCGATCAGRAGTGAGATGACAGAGCTCTCAAAGTCCGTGCGTCAGGCTCAAGTCGTCTTGTCACTTCAACTTCCAAGGCTTGAGGGGAAAAATCCATTSATGATGTCTTTACATCCGTCTGCGATGCACAGAACAACTCTAGGTCCAGTTAGCTACACATTTCTAACTTTATTTGACAGCAAACACTTGCTTCTAACCCAGAAACATTTTAGACAAAAAATAGCTGGTAAACAAATCCAACAAAAGGAAAACAGTGAGCACAAACGTCAGCCAGGTATGTCGTTTTAAACTGTGCAACTTTCTTTAGTGTGTTTGTCGTTCTTTTTTTTGTATGTACCTATAAAATGTAATATTTCTCACTTACAAAGATTAGTGTGAGTCAAGATGGCTGCCACTGCCACAATGAATCAAGCTTTGCCAACAGAAAAATAGCTCTAACCATGTTAAGTTTACAGACATTGCTAAATTTTCAGATGGTAGCAATTTATAATATTTCACGGTTGCTTCAACAAGTCATTTTTCAACATGTTAATCTAAAACTCTGATTTGAAAAGTGGTAAGAGATACGCATTTCTTTGAGGCACATGTGTCAAACTCAAGGCCCGTGGGACAAATACGGCCCACCATGGCATTTCATGTGGCCTGCGAGAGCTTCAAGGATGTATTAAAGTAAGCATTTGCTGTTTTAAAGCCTATATTGACTATTAACTACATTGCCCATCATGCACATGAATTAGTTTGCCGTCAAAACTGATGACATCATACCACTAGGTGGAGCTGCACAGGGTTAAAAAGTAGTCAGCAACTGAYGAAATTTGCCTTGTAAAATCTCCATTTTGCTACATTTTCGCTGGCTACTTTTGCTGTGGCAGTTGTATTTGCAGTTGTACCGGGAAGTGGGAATTTTCCACCTACAAGTCATAGATTAGAACTGGAAAGCCCCTTCTAGTGGGAATTCCCTGTTGGAAAGTGGTTCAGAATTCAAGACACCAGCTGCTCACTACAACTCAACAGTGAGTAAAACTCTCTTATTTTTACTTTGAACAGTATTTCTGAATTTATTTATTTTACATTTAGACAGTTGTACACGTAGTACTTTTCAGCGTTTATAAGAGGACGTGGTAAAACACTGTTTCTATGCAGGAAATACCACGTAGAGCTTAGTTATTTTTATTGGTGCTCAGTTCTAGCATTGAAAAGTTAGACATAAAACATTAAATGAACTACATTATAATGCTCATGTGGCCCTCTGTGACAATAAGTTTGACACCCCTGCTTTCACAAATGTCTTTAGTCATTATTATATTCATTATTATATACTGTATATAGTCATTATTATAGTCTTTAGTTATTATTTAAAACTGAAGCAGAAATAATATGAAACTTGATGATGTGCCTGAGGTTAGGATTGTTTACAGCTGCTCTCTTTCACTTTGTGACCTTGTCTTGCTCCGTGAAAGAAATGTTTCTGCTTTTTGTCTCTTTGGATGACATCTTGGGACATTAATATGTTCTTTCACAAAGTCTTTTGTGTATTAACATTTGACATGATGCAGAAAGGCCAAGCCAGCCCGTGCATATTTTGCCTACACATGGCTCTATTTAGTGTTGTGAAATAAAACTCTTGTCATRTATCTCACTCAAATAAAGCCGAGATGAGCCTGGCCATCTGTTGGTGGAGTAATGTGACAACTTTCTTTTATCAACACTATTGGTTTGTTTGGTTTTTCAGCCTTTAAAAAAACATATCAGTTTAATGTGTTAAATCCCATCATGTCTTGTTTTTTGTTTCTCAGTCCTCAGACTCATTCAACTGGAGCTGAATGGGAAATCCAACATGGCGCAACAGCGAGGGTGTTATTTTCAAACCRCCCGCTAACGTTGAACATCTGGTCGTAGAGGGAGGTGAGCCACCCCGTCAATGGGAGCCCTTGTCTCCCCCCAAAAACTCCATGAAAACAGCCCACCACAAGGTGAACAAGGAGGTATGTGTGTGTGTTATGAATATGAGCGTGTGTGACGTGTTAGTGGACCAACTGTTTCTTCTAGAATGATTTTTAAACAAGCATCACTCAGAAACACTATTCATAAATGGAGCTATRAAATTTTAAAAAAATCATATTAATTTTGCCCAAACAACCAAAGTAAATGTAGGTTTTGTGGGGGTCTTTGGCTTGAAATTTCTAATTTTCTATTAGACAGCAGTTTCAAAATTTGTACTCGGCTTATTTAAAAAAAATGCAAAATGATAAGAATAATACAACATGCCTTGGTGGAGAATACTGTATTAGTGTGTTTTGAACTAAATGTTTTTATGACAGGAGATGGAATTTATTTGCTAATCTTTTCAGTGCCTTGCTGCTTTATGCAATAAAGAGGATAAAAAGGAGCAAAACATCTGTGAGCTTCAATATGTTCCACATGGGTCAGTTTGCTCAGTT